AAAGAGAGAGAATGAGAGAGAGAGAGAGAGCACATGAGAGTGGGGAGGGTCAGAGGGAGAAGCAGGCTCCCCGCGGAGCAGGGAGCCCGATGTGGGACTCGATCCCGGGACTCCAGGATCGTGACCTGAGCCAAAGGCAGCTGCTTAACCAACTGAGCGACCCAGGTGCCCCTGCGTGTACATTTTAAACCAGCAGTTCTCATCAGGGGCATATTCTGCTTCCCAGGGGACCCTCGCACACTTTGGTTGTCACGACGTGGGGGAGGAAGAGCTGCTGGAGTCCAGTGGGTAGAGCCCGGGGATGCTGCTCAGCCCCCTACGATGCACAAGACGGCCCCACCAGAGAGGGTTATCTATCCCTGAATGTCAGCAGTGCCGAGAAACTGAGGAACCAGCTTTAAAGCAACTCAAGCCAGATCTCCTTGCCTGCAGGAGACGTGGAGCCTGAGGATGAGAAGGGAGATTAGCAAGTCTCCAGGGGCAGTTCGGGACCTACCCATATCAAACTGAGACGTGCTCTTTGAAATAATCCCAAAACACTACTTGTGACAACATGAAGAGACCTGAAGGGCATTATGCTAGGTGAAATAAGCAGGACAGAGAAAGACAAATACTGTAAGATCTCACTTCTACGTGGAATCGAAAAAAGCCAAACTCATAGAAACAGAAAGTAGAGTGATGGTTACAGGGGAAAGGGGGTGGGGAGATGGAGAGATGTCAGTCAAAGGTTACAAACTTCCAGTTACAAGATGAATGAGACCGACCCAGGGATCTAATGCACAGCGTGGGGGTCACAGTTAATACTGTATTCTATGCTTGACAGTTGCTAACAGCATTGATCTTCAAGGTTCTTACCATGAAAAAGAAATAGTAATGAGGTGCGTGTTGGAGGTGTTAGCTAAGGCCACTGGGGTAATCATGGTCCAAGATAGAAGTGCATCCAATCAACATGTTGGCTACCTTAAACTCACACATTCGCCGATTATCCGACAATAAATCCGGGGGAGAAAAATTAACCAAAAACATGGCCTCTATGATCAGGGAAAGACCTTCTCATTATCTGACCTTATTGAAAATGCCCTGGTGATCTGAGTCCCGCCCACCACCTCTCCACAGTAACGAACCGCAGACAGAAGGAAAGCGTACCTGGGTGTCCACGGGCCTGGTTGGGATGCTGGCTCGTCCATCGCTGTCCTGGAGGAGTTGAGCAAGTGGCCTCTCTCCTGGGACATCAGCCACATCGTCTGTGAGATGGCAGTGAGAACCGCTCAAGGATGGGCTAGGACCAGGAGAGAAAGGCACTCCCCTCAGGATCAGCACATAAGGGAGTATGATGAGCCTGAAAACCAGAACGAATGCCAAACGTACCCACGATGGCCCCCCGTGTGAGCGAGGCATTTGGGAGTTGGGAATGCCAAGTCCCCACTTTACATACAGGCACTTGAAAAATGGTGGTATCAGTTCAACCAAACAGCTCGAGCTTCTTGATACCTTTTCCTTCTCTGCCTCAACTTCCCTTCCCTGCCTCATTCACCCAGGAAAAGAGTCTGCCTTTAAGGGGTCCCCAAGACCCCCCCCTCAGATTCGAGCATTCGTTAGAAGGACTCAGAGAATTCGGGGAAGCAGTTCTCATGGCGAAGGTTCATTATAGTGAAAGGACAGAGATGAAGGGCAGCCAAGGGAAGAGGCGTGCAGGGCTGTGTCTGGCAAACGCTGGGCTTGGGCTTCTAGTTGCCCCCTCCCAGCGGGGTTGTGCAGGCAGCACTGGATTTTCACAGCAACGGTGTGTGACAACACGCTCGGAGGATTGCCAGCCAGGGAAGCTCACCGGGGCCTTGGTGTCCAGGTTTGTCCTGGGCATTGGTCACACAGACACAGCTGACTTCAGAGTCCAGCTCCCCCCAGAGCTCCTCCAGAGTGGATACCACAAGGCCCAAGGTCCCCACTAGAAATCACATCGTTAGTATAGACTCTTTGGGTATATTCCGAGGCCCCCAGGTAAACAAACAACACTCCTATCGGGCAAGACATTCCAAGAGCTTGGAGGGCACATCCTGGGAGCTGGTCAAGGGCCAAACCTTTCATGTGCAGGGTGTGGAAAACCCAGGCCTGTTAAATGAAACTTTCCTGCACAGACCTGAAAAATGTTGTACCATAATTGACTGTCACCATTTTACAGATGAGGAAAACTGAGAATCAGAGTGAGAACTTTTTCACTAGCCTGGAAAGGTAGGGTAGGGTTGGGGAGTGAGTGCTGGTCTGCCCCCTTCTTCTCCCCACCCTGAACCCTCTCATGTCATCCACTCCTCGGCTTAAATGCTGCTTCCTAAGAGGCCCTCCCTGATTGTCCCATTGCTCAATGACCACCCCCTACCCCCGAGTCACTCCCAATGCCATCACCCTGTTTTAATTCTCTGTGTGGTACTCACCACCAGCTGATACGTTTCTTCTTGCTTCTTTACTGCTTGTCTCTCCACAAGAACATGAGTTCCATGAGTGCAAGGACTTTGTCCGCCAAGGTCGGCATGCTTGGCACATAGTAGGTGCTCACTAAATGATCGTCCCATCAACGGGCTCATCCACAACTGTCCATCTTCCTTGACTCCTATTTGTCACCGCAGGCAACTGAACAAGACTGGATTTCCCCAGGAAAGACAGAGGCCCCTTGCCGGGCCTGCCTTCTGATGTTTCTTGGGGGCTCTGGCCTCCCTCTTGCTCCTTTCCGTGGTAGAAGGGCCAACTTAAAATTCTCTGGGGAAGTAGGCTGGAGAAGAGAGTTTTCTGGGTGCAGCGGTGCCCGGAAACCAGGCCCCCGGCAATCCTAGAAACTTTTGTCTTAGGTACTTCCCAGGTCTCTCCCTGCCAATTCGCCCGGCAACCGGGAAAATGAAAGAAATTGTGTGGCTCCTGGGCCCTGGCTTAGCTGGGCACTTAGCCAGACTCGATGGTTAACCATTGTGTGCCGGGCTAATACACTCATCACAGTGGAGCCCATTTGTTAAGGGTCCGTGAGGTGCCAGATGGTTGGCATCCCACATGGACAGTGTGCCCGGGAGTCAGATATTGTGATCCTGTCCCACTGATGGAAAAAAATGAAGTCCAGATAGATGAGGCCCCTGGCACCAGCCACTTGACCTCTCTGGGCTTAAGTTTTCTTCACGATCTCCAGAGTTGGCGAGACAACAAAATTCCCTTACAGGGTGAGCCCAATGCCATGCCTGGGGCATGCGAAGGGCCCATGAAATGTTGGCCATGATTAATTATTATTATTTCCAGGCTCACCCAGAGTCAGGAATCAGAGCGTCCAATGTCGATGTCCCCGCAAGTGTTAAATGAAGTCTAAGTTTCCAGAGCAGGGTTTCTCAACCTCAGCCCTGCTAATATTTGGGGCCAGAGCACTGTTTGTGGTGGGGTGTGCGTGTTGGAGGAGGTCATCAAGAACACGTGACTGCAGATTTGACCCACCAGCTGGACCTGGGCAGTGAGAGGCTCGCCCTCCCCATCCCCTGTCCTTGGAGTGTTCACTCCACTGGCCTTCCCCGGGCTAGATGCTCCCAAAGGACACAGCCTTGACATAGTGATGTGGTGTTAAGAGCATCTGGATGGTGTATGAGACTGAATCCAGTTGAGGCCTCTATAGAAATGTTAAGATTCTGGCTGGTAGATGTGGAGATCTAATTGTCCGTGGCCAATCAAGACAAGCCTGGTAAGTAAGTTCCCTTGCTTATCAAACCTGCCCCACATGAAATGGCCTGACTTTCTTTGGTCTTGCCCTGCCCTCCCAGTATGGGGGCTGATTTCAGATTACATACAGGGAGGCTCCCGAGGAGGTAGCAAATGACAGTGTTCACTGTAGAATGCTGAGCAGCATCCCCGGTCTCCACCAACTAGAAGCAAGTGGCACCACCTCTCCCGATCACAACAACCAAAAATATCTCCTGACATTGCCACGTGTCCCCTGGGGAACAGAATCCCCACCTCCACCCTCTGGTTGAGAATCAGGGCTCTATCATGTAACTATATTCCTGGGACCATCATCATGTCATTATATGATGAAGAATTCTTAGCTTCAGGTGCTAATATAACATACGGTCTCTAATTCTCCCTGTGACCTGGGAGCTTCATTTTGCTACCCTGGCTTACCAATGATGAAAATAAGCTTCGGGGTGGGGGGCACCTGGTTGGCTCAGTCAGTAGAGCATGCGATGCTTGATCTTGGGGTTGTGAGCTCAAGCCCCACGTTGGGTGTAGAGATGACTTAAAAATAAAAAAAGAGGGGCGCCTGGGTGGCTCAGTCGTTAAGCGTCTGCCTTCGGCTCAGATCATGATCCCAGGATCCTGGGATCGAGCCCCGCATCGGGCTCCCTGCTCCGCGGGAAGCCTGCTTCTCCCTCTCCCACTCCCCCTGCTTGTGTTCCCTCTCTCGCTGTGTCTCTCTCTGTCAAATAAATAAATAAAAATTTAAAAAATAAATAAATAAAAATAAAAAAAGAAAGAAAGAAAATAAACTTCAGAGAAATTCAGCAATTTGCCCAAGCTCCCTTGGCAAGGGAATGACAGCGCTGAGCCTCAAAACCCAACATTTGTCAGCTACATAGGAATCTGTAGGGATTAGAGAATTCTTGGCAAAGTTTTTAAAGTGTGATGATGGTATCGTGGAAAGGTTTTTGTTTTTATTTTTTTAAGAGTGTATTTATCTTTTAGAGATGCATAATAAAATATTTATAGAATAGTAAGATTTCTAGAATGACTGGGATTTGGTTTGGAAAAAATAATCCCAGATGGCAGGGTGGATGGGGTAGGATTGGCCAGGGGTGATAGTAATGGGACCTGGAGCTGGCGGTTCATTATACCATTCTGCCTTTGGTGTTTCAAATTCTCTGCAGTAAAAGTGTAATATATTATTCCAACCCTGCTTTTAGGGGATAGTTATAATGGTCATTATGTGTTGGGTAGGGGCTGAGCCCTAGGCGAAGGGACTTCCACATCTTCTCTGCCTATCATTCCCATCTTAAAGAAGAGGGATCCCGGCAGAGAGATGTTAATGACCTCAATCAAACCCTCTGCCTGGAAGGAGGTGCCTGGGCTGAGGATGAGCGGGGAAGCGGCGCCCCCTGGAGGTCAGCGCGGGAGCTGCCGCGTGAATGGGCAGAAACCGCTTGTGCGCAGGGCAGAGTGGGAGAGGCAAGGAGAGGAGCTGGGTGGCCCGAGGTGCTATATTTTGGGGGGAGGGCACACACACACAAAAAGCCCCAGCAATAAAAATAAATAATATTTTGTCATTTTTATGGTGATAAGCGTGTAATATTTTAAGACAATATTTAGAAAAATTAAAATCAATGCAGAGAAATCCACAGTGAATGAACTATCACAATCTTAAATACAGTGAGGCAAGTGAGGTGAATATACACATGCAGGGTTGGATCCCGTTTTCATTAAGATTTTCATGTTTTAGGGGCGCCTGGGTGGCTCAGTCGTTAAGCGTCTGCCTTCGGCTCAGGTCACGTGGGATCAAGTCCCACATGGGGCTCCCTGTTCAGTGGGGAGCCTGCTTCTCCCTCCCCCACTCCCCCTGCTGTGTTCCCTCTCTCACTGTGTCTCTGTCTGTCAGATAAATAAATAAAATCTTAAAAAAAAAAAAGATCTTCATGTTTTGTTCAGGCACGGATTTTTTTTGGTGTGGATTTTGATTTTTTAGAAAATATTACTTTAAAGTATTATGTACCTGTAAATCAAAACCACAGTGAGATAGTATCTCACACCTACTGGGACACCTATAATCAAAAAAGTAGAAAATAAGTACTGGCAAGGATGTGGAGGAATTGGCACCCTCGTGCAACCGCTGGTGGGAACGTAAAGTGGTGCACCCGTTACAGAAAAGAGCTTGGCGGTTCCTTGGAAAGTGAAACATAGAATTACCGTATGATGTGGAAACTCCATTCCTAGGTATCTACCCAAGAGAACTGACAAACAAATCCTGTACAAGGATGTTCAGAGCAGCACTAACCAAAAGAGCCAGACGTGAAAACAACCCAAATGTCCATCGATTGGTAAATGGATAAACAAAATGGGATCAATCCATACGATGAAATGTTACCCAGCCATAGAAAGGAAGGGAGCGCTCACATATGCTACAATGTGGCAAGAACCTAGAAGACACCGCGCTGAGTGAGAGAAGCCAGTCACAAAGGGCCACAGAGTGTATGATTCCATTGATACGGAACGTCCAGAATGGGCAAATCCGTAGACACAGAAAGCAGATTGGTGGTTGCCAGGGGCTGGGGGAATGACAGCTTATGGGGAATGGGGTATCCTCTGGGGCCATGGAAATGTTCTGGAACTAGACAGAGGTGATGGTTGTGAATGTATGAAATGCCACCCAGTTATGCACTTTAAATTTATTTATTTTAAGATTTTATTTTTTTATTTTTAATTTATTTTTAAAGATTTTATTGTTAAGTAATCTCTCATCCAACGCGGGGCTTGAACAATCCCGAGATCAAGAGTCGCATGCTCCACCCTCTGAGCCAGCGAGGCACCCCTACAATTATTTATTTTATGTTACATGAATTTTACCTTAATTTTAAAAATGGATTTATTCATTTTGTGTTTTTTTAAAAAAATGGATTCCAATAGGAAACAAATATTTATCTGGTCGTCACTGGTGTTTTGGATGCCCCTGCAAGTATTTTGCCCCAGGTAAGTGCCTCTCCTAGGTCTTGGCCCAGCTCACAACTCCTAGGTGCGTCCGCTGTTATCATTCCTGGGTTACTGATGGGGAAGCTGAGGCCCCTGGCCACACAGCTAGTAACTGTGTGTAGTAAGAGCGTAGTAACTGGAGTGGTATTTGAAACCAGGTCCCGTATCATCTGTATTTCGAATTACAGGAGGGTCCAGAATGGTCCCAGTGGAAATCGGCAGTTGGCCTCATTTTTGCCCACTGGTTCGGTAAGTTTTTGGGGGTTACAGACCACACACTGCAACATCCTCGATAAAAGCTCTGGACCCTCTCCTAGAAACTGCCATGGACGCACAGTTTCGCTTAAGTCCCAGGAAGTCTGGGGAACGTCGAATTCCTCCTGTCCTTGATCGGAACCGGGCCAATGAGATCTTGGTTGAGAAGCTCAAAGTCAGACAAATACTCTGAGATTCAGCCATTTAAGAAGAACCAAAGGCGCAATTTGTTAGTAAAGAGACACTCACCTGCAAGCAGAAGAGACATATTGCCAAGCACAGCTGTCACCTCCTGAGCGTTTATATGTGCCGAATAAAAGGACCGTTCATAGTGGCTGCCTCTGGGACGGTGGGTTGTAGGGGAGAAGAAGTAAGTCTCTCTCTCTCTCGATCTCTCTTTTTCTCTTTAGGCATTTCTCTGTAGTTTGCATTTTTAAGAACCAGACTGTATTATTTTTATAATTTAAAAAAATCTGAGGGGCACCTGGTGGCTCAGTTGGTTGAACGGCTGCCTTCGGCTCAGGTCATGGTCCCAGCGTCCTGGGATCGAGCCGCGCATCCGGCTCCTTGCTCCGCGGGGAGCCTGCTTCTCCCTCTCCCTCTGCCTGCCGCTCCCCCTGCTGGTGCTCTCTCTCTCTCTGTCAAATAAATAAATAAACTCTTAAAAAAAAAATCCGAAAGCTGCACAAACAAAAATCTTTGCTTTTATAGGGCGCGGAGAGCAGTGCATCCCTTCAGGAAACAGTCTAGGATGTTCGGTGAGGACATTTATGTGACAATCCAATAGCACGTGCCCGTCTATGTGTCCAGACAGAACCAGCCTCCTCACTCACCCACGTTGTGGTTTGTTCCAGGCCCATCATTCAGGGAGAGGTTCCTCTTGGCATTTTGTCTCCTGGGTATATCTGTTTTCCCGAAGCTGCCATAAACAACGGGAATGGATCATCTCCCAGATCTGGAGACCAGAAGTCTGATAGCAAGGTGGCAGGAGGGTTGGTTCTCTCTGAGGGCCGTGAGGGAGGATCTGTTCCAGGCCTCTCTCCTGGGCTGGCAGCTGGCTGTCTTTTCCTTTGTCTCCATGTTGTCAGCCTTCTGTGCATGTCTGGATGCCCTAATTCCCTCTTCTTACAGGGACAACCATCATATTGAGTTAGAGCCAACTCTAATGACAGCAGTTGAACTCTTTAAAGGCCCTCTCTCCAAATGAGGTCATGTTCTGCAGTACCGGGGGTTAGGACTTCATCTCGTAAACTTTGGGGGGGGGCGCGCAATTCAACCCACAACAGTGGGTGTTTTACTCACACATGGTTGTTAAAGTGTAAAGTTGGATATGGGCCCCAATGGATCCACATTGGGATTTATTTATGGCAACCCTATTAGTATCCCACCTGGATCTAGGATTCCCAGTGAGGGAGATATGCCATCTCCATGGAAACCCAGAGATCCTTCCAAGAGATAACCACTATGAACAGTCCTTGTATTATGCACACATAAACACATGTGGGGAAAAGGTTTTGTTTGTTTTGACCAAACTGGAATCATACCACACGGTCCGTTTGACACCTTGCTTTTGTCACATAATAATACAACACAGACACCTTTTTGTGGCAGTCTCCTGGAGATCTAGTTCATTCATTTTAATGGCTGCATAGAATTCTATTGAGTGGATGGACTGTAATTTCTTTATCCAATCTATTCTGAGTCCTGAGGCATGAGAATCAGAGGGCTGAGGTATAAGCCCCGATCTGAGTCCGAAAGCTCGAGAACCAGGAGGGTTGATGCCCAAGGGCAGGAGATGTATGTCTCAGCTCCAGCAGAGAGAGGGAATTTGTCCTTCCTCTTTTTTGTTTTTTTTTAAAGATTTTATTTATTTATTTGACAGAGAGAGAGAGAGAGAGACAGTGAGAGAGGGAACACAAAAAGGGGGAGTGGGAGAGGGAGAAGTAGGCTTCCCCCCGAGGAGGGAGCCCGATGCGGGGCTCGATCCCAGGACCCCGGGATCATGACCTGAGCTGAAGGCAGACGCTTTACGACTGAGCCACCCAGGCGCCCCTCTCTTTATTGTTTTTGATGAATTGGATGATGCCCACTGACGTTGGGGAGGGCCATCCACTTCACTCAGTTCAATTCAGATGCTAATCTCTTAGCATTAGACACCATCCCAGACACACCCAGAAATCATATTTAAGAAGCTATCTGGGCATCCCTTAGCCCAGTCAAGTTGACACCTACAATTAACCATCACAGTGATGGCATTTGGAAA